ATAGTGCTTATTATTTTCTTATTTTTATCCTATGCTCATATTTCTTTAGGACAAAAAGCAACTTGGATAGTATACTATACCCAGGGGTAGAGGAAGAGAGAGATGAAGAGCAAGATCTAGGCTGCCAATCCTCCAGGTGAGTTTTGGGACTATTACACCTCAGAGAAAAACCTTCATTGCTCTCTGGGCTTTAATATATCTTGTTTTCTACAACCTAGACAAACCAGCCCCTCAGAAGATCTCCGATTATCTCTGCCCCAGCACTGCTCTTTTCCAGGAACTGCTATTAAACCAAATTACATAGACCCCAGTTGGGACTACAGAAGGCCTGCTCACCGCTTCCAGGTAATGCAGCCATGACAACGACTCTAGTTTCATTTCCACTCAATAGCTTCAGGGATGTTACCAGTATTCTCAAGGGAAATCATGGGAAAAATAAAGGCTAAAATAAAGTCTATCCCCTTCATCTAATTTCCTATACAGCCAATCCTCTCCTGTATTAGGTGATAGGGACCATACTAACTCTGACTTCCAAAGGATTTTGGAATTGATATAGATTTTGTGTTGTATTCTGAGATCCAAAAACTTCTCTGACATTGTTAGCACACTCAGGGTTTGGGGTAAGGGGCAGGCTGCATTTTGTCAGATGCTTTTTCTGTGCATATTGAGGTGATCACATGGGCTTTTGTTTGCTTGTTAATATAGTGAATTACACTAATTGCCGTTTGAATGTTAAACCAACCTTGTATTCTTGGGATAAACCAAACTGGACTTACCCAGTTTAATGTATTAAGCTTTCGGTATATTGTTCAATATAATTTGCTACAATTCTGTTTAATTTTTTGGATCTATTTCTTTGAAGGTATCTATTCATCATCTTTTAATGTATTGTAGTTGTCTGGTTTTGGTGTAAGGATAAAGGTGGCTCATAGTATGAGTTGGGAAGTATTTCCCCCCTTCACTTTTCTGGAAAAGTCTGTGTAGAACTGGTATTATTTCTTCTTTAAATAGTTAATAGAATTTACCAGTGAAGTCTTATAAGCCAGGAGTTTTCCTTGTGTAAAGGTTTTTAGCTAGAAATTGAATTCTTTAATAGATAAAGTTTTATTCACTTGATCTATTTCTTCTTAAGTGAGCCTTGGTGGTTTGTATTTCAAGAAATGTGTTTATTTCATCTAGGTTGAAAAATTTACTGGTATAAACTTGTTTGTAATATTCCATTACTATCTTTTTAATATTAATAGACTCTCTAGTGATGTCACCTCTCTCACTCCTGAAATTGATCATTTGTTTCTTCTTTCTCTGTCTCTCGCTCTCTCATTCTTTTTATCTCCTTCTTTCTCTCTCTCTTCCCCTGATCTGTCTGGCTAGAGTCTTCGAGTCTTGTAAATTTTATTACTTTTCTCACAGTAAAATATTTTGGCTTTAATGATTTTCTCTATTGTATTTTTTTCCTATTTCACTGATTTCTCTTCTTATATTTATTCTTTTCTTCTCCTCATTTTTGGGTTTAATTTATTCTCCTTTTTCCAGTTTTTTAAATAGCAGAGCTTGATCATTGATTTGAGACCTTGTATGTCTAATACAGGCATTTAATGCTGTATATTTCCCTGTAAGTATTGTTTTAGCAGCATTTCAAATATTTTGATATGCAGTATTTTAATGTTTTTTCAGTTTGAAATATTTCCACTTTCCAGTTTGATTTCTTCTTTATCTTATGGATTGTGTAGAAGTGCATTGTTTAGTTTACAAATGTTTGGGACTTTTTAAGAGATCACTTCATTATTGATATATAAGATAATTTCATTGTGGTCAGAGAATACACTTTGCATGGCCTGAATCCTCTTAAATGTATTAGGATTCATTTTATGGGCCAGAATATGGTCTATTTTGATGAATGTTCAGTGTGCACTTGAAAGAATGTGTATTCTGCTGTTGTTCTTGGCTTTGAAACTTATTTTTGTTGATATTAATATAGCCATTCCATTTTTATTTTGACAAATATTGATGTGGTATGTTTTTCCATCCTTTTACTTTTACAATTTACTATTTACTATTTGTGCATATATATGAGGTGTATTTTAAGATGTAGGCAACATATAATTGGGTCTTTCTTTTTTTATCCAATCTGACAAACTCTGTCTTTTAATTGGGTGTTTAGACCGTTTATAATTAACATGATTATGGATACCATTGTATTTAAGTCTATCATTGTTGCATTTGTTCTCTCTTCCCTTTTCCCTCTTTTTCTTTCTTTTGGATTGAGTATTTTTTAAAAATTTCAATCTATCTTATTGATTTTCATATGGGTTATAACTATTTTACTTTTGGAGCGTTGCTTAAGAGATTATAGTACACATTTCTAACTAATCGCAGGCTACTGTGATAATATATTATTTCAAGTGATAATATATTGTTTCACATATAATGTAAGAACCTTGCAGTAATATAGTTCCATTTTCCCATCTTGACTTGTGCTATTATTGCCATACATTTTACTTTGTCATATGTTATAAATCACACACTGCATTATTTTTGAGTAAACAGACAATTACTTTTAAATACATTTGCATAATAAAAATCTTCCATGTTTACCCATGTAGTAACAAATTCTGATGCTCTTCATTCCTTTGTGTAGATCCATATGTATATTTGATATCACTTTTCTTCTGTTTAAAGAAACTTTTTAATTGTTGTTTGTAGTGTGAGCCTGCTGGTGATGAATTATTTCAGTTTTTGTATGTTTGAAAAAAGCATTTTATCTGTTTCTGAAGCATATTTTTGTGGGATATAGAATTCTAGTTTAACAATGTTTTTGTTTTTTCTTTCAATTTTTTAAAGATATTACTCTACTGTCTTCTTGCTTGCATTGTTTCTGATAAGAAATCTGTCATCCTTAATTTAGTTCTTCTGTATGTAATGTGTCTTTTTTTTCTGGTTTTTAAGATTTTTTTCTTTATCCTTACTTCTGAGCAATTTGAGTATGATATGTCTTGGTGTAGTTTTCTTCATGTTTCTTATTCTTGGGTTTCATTGAGCCTCTTGGAACTGTGATTTTATAACTTTTATCAGACTTAGAAAATTTTAGCCATTATTTTTTCAAATATATTTTATGTCTCCTCTTCTGTCAAGAGATGGTGACTTGGCACTACAAAGAATGTTTATGTGCACTGACTGGACAATAAATACATATGTGACAATTTCTTCTCTACTCATTATTCTAAATTTTCATTGATAACCCCATACATTTTACAATGGGCCCATATGGGCCCATACATTTTGTAATACATTTTAACTACTAAATTGTTTAAATAGGCAGGGGCCCTACACACTCTATAGGTGGCCTTGAATGAAGTTGACCACACCCTCTTAGTTGACCACAGTTTATTTTGAGGTCCTTTCTTCTGTGACTCTCTTATTTTTGCTTCTACTTCCCTGACCACTACTTTGTGTTCTCTCCATGCTAATCTCCTCATACCAGAAGGTGAGGATGATATGAGGTCTTTTCAGGGCTTTTTGTAGGATTTCTTCTCTTCTTAATCTATATTCTATTTGTAGGCCATCCTACCTACTCCCATTGCTTTAATTCCCAAGTTTATATTTTATTTAAGTACCAAATCTATAAGTTCAAGTGCTCACTCTACACTTCCACTAGTATGTCTGATGGATATTCAAGTTCAAAGTGTCTAAAAATGTGCTTCTGATTTTACCCCTGAGCCTCTACCTGGCCCTATGATGACGTTACATACAGTTTCTCAGATCATGGAATCATGCATGAAATGTGCTCTCTCTCTCACTCTTGATATCTAATGTAAAAACCCACAGGACAGGAACCATGTCTGAATTACATTCCTAGTAACTAGCATGCATTCCATCGTTTATTTAGTAAACATTTATAGTCTCTACCATATGTTAAGCACTATTTGAGCACTTGTGATACAGCAGGGAACATAACAGACAAAAATTCCTGCCTTTATGCTGCTTAAATTTTAGTGAATGGAGACTAACTAAACAAAGAAATGAGTAAAATTTGTGGTCATTAAATAGTGAAAAATGCTACGCAGAACAGTGAAACAGAGAAGGCGTTAGGAAATCATTTGTGTTTTGGGGGAATACTGCTGGATACTATTTTAAATATTGTGGTCAGAGAGGCCCAATGGACCCAAGGGAGAGAGCTATGTGGACAGAGAAACAACAAGTAAAAAGTCTCAGAGGCAGGAATGTGGTTCATGTTTCTGAGGAACTGCTGGGGAGGCAGTTTAGATTGAGTGGACTGAAGGAGGAGGTCCGAGAGGTAAATGAGTCCCACCTAGAGAAGTAAATTCCTCTCTCCTCTGGGCTTCCAAAGTGCCTTATTTATGTGTTTTAATCTAACTCATTATATTGTGATATAATCTGATTTTACATATTTTTGCCTTTTCCACTAAGCCACAGGTTTTTTGAGCCATGGGACCAGGATTTATTTATATTAGATTATCATTTTCTAGTATTATACTACATATGAAATAACTTTCAATAAATATCTTTGAATACCGGAAGAAAAATGTTATAGCATAACAATTATTTTAAATATGTTTTAACAGTTGGTTTTTAACCTTATATTTACTCTTCCAGAGTCAATGCACTGTCTCTAAGTACTGATATTTCCCAGTGGCCACACTTCTTTAAGTAAATAGTGATTTTCCATCTCCACTGGCTCTTCTTGGGACTTAATCAGGAACAGATAATTAGGTTTGATGCTTGACTCATCAAAATTCATAGCCTCTGGTCTAGGTAGCACAGTGTGAGATTAATATCCTTAGTCTCTGCCAGGGTACTGTAGAGTGGTAAGAGATAGGATACGACTCTGGATGAGAGGGAAACCATATAGTTCATATCATCAGCATGTCCAGAGAGAAGATTAGGACTGTTTTTCTATCCCTCAGTCCCTGCCTTCCAATTCTGATTTTGAGTATTCTTGATCAAGATAAGCAAATCAAGAATACAATTGCTTTCTGCTGTCATCCACCCCTCTTTAGTAATTTCCAAACTCCCTGCTTAATCTCCTGGGTTCGTACTCCATAGACAATTGGGTTGAAGGCTGCAGGAATTACTTGGTGCAAGACATTAAGTAAGACGGGGATATCAGGGGAAACCTTTTTCTTGGCCATATGGGTGAAAACAAAAACCAGCAGGATAGTGTTGAAGAAGAGGATGAGAATGAAATGAGAGCCACATGTGCTAAGAGCTTTGGCAGCTGTCCCTTTTGCCTTGAGTCTAAGAACAGCTCGCAGGATGCAAGTGTAGGAGAAGAAGATGAGGATGAGGTCAGAGCCCAGAAGAGTCCAGGCTATAATTAACTGGTAGATTCTGTTAAGGGCAACGTTATCACAGGAGAGCTTGGACACAGAGAGGTTGGCACAGATACAGTTCTCAATGATGTTTTTTCCACAGTAATGGAGCCGAGCGGAGAGGATGGGCACAGGAGCAGTGAGAAATGTATTCCGGGCCAAGATGAAGACAACAGCCTTTGCCACAAATTGGTCAGTGATTATGGATGGATAGTGCAGAGGCTTGCATATGGCCACATAGCGGTCATAGGCCATAGCTAGGAAGGTGCATGATTCCATGGGCAGGAAGCTGTTCATAATGAACATCTGGAGGAAGCAGGTGGAGAAGCCGATGGGCCTGAGGTCAAACCAGAAGATGGCCAGGACCTTGGGGATGACAGTGAGGCAGAGCATCGTGTCCAGCAGGGAGAGAAGGCTGAGCAGGTAGTACTTGGGCTCATGCAGGGAGGCCTCCAGCCAGATGGTGATAAGGAGGGTGGCATTGGCCCCCACAGCCAGGAGGAAGAGGAGACTTAGGGGCAGGGACAGCCAGAGCTGCCAACTGGGGGACCTGACAAAACAATTCAGGAGAAACTCAGAGACTTCAATAGAGAGGGAACAATTGTTATAAGGCAGCATTGATAGTGACTTTAATGAAGTAGATATCTTTGGGTATCTGAAGAAGAGAGAAGCAGTTAATTCTACCATAGACTCTGATGACTATGTACTTAACTTAAAAGATCCATGAGGATAAGAACACAACCCCCCTCATTCACCCCACATCCCTTTGCCTAGCTCATTTTTTGACACATAAGAGGTGCTTAATAAATATTTGTTGAATGTATAAAATAATGTTTCCTCATTATTCTTTCGTCTGTGTTTCATCTTACATTTTCTCTTGGGTGAATTTATCTTTTCAGTTTATTTTCTTGGTTAATAGTCAATGAATCAGAAATTATTTAAGCATCAAATGTTATTTAAAGGAAACATGTAAAATTAAAGTCTGATAAAACATTCAGTTTAAATTTTAAAATGTATAGAAAAGCATTTGAAAGGCTAGATGGCATCCATGATCAAGTTTTTAAGGGAGTAAAAGATGTGAGTATCCAGAGGTATGATGAACTGAATACATAGAGTAAATCTCCTGATGAAAATGAATAAAAATTATATCTATGGTTATGTCTATGTCTATACCCAACCCATATCCTTACCTATACCTATATGTGTATTTGAATACCTTGAATGCATCCATGAGCAGGCAAAAAAGAAAGAATTACCAGACTAGGAATTGAATGAAATCCAGACATTAAAATAAAAAAAAAAAAAATTGATGTTGGCTTTTAACCTGAGGATATTTGCAGGATTATATGAAATTAAGCACCAGTTTTCATTATCTTGTGGAGATCAGGGACAGAAGATAAAATCCTGGCTCATGCAGGTGGGGAATCTATTAGGTGATCTCCTACATAGTTAGGACTTTACAGCACTACATTCTGAATGAAGATGTGCACTCGAAATAAACCCACACCTTCATCTCCATTCCTCACCCCCAGCTGGAACTTCAAAGAAAACTGACTACCTCAAAGCTTGTTATATGGGAGAAGTCTTCCTTGAACTATGGACTAGTCTTCGTGTAACTTTGGGTCTTGAGTTTACACCAACTGTTTGGCTCAAAAGAAATTTAAAATTATCCTGGATTGCTAGCAGATCCCAAAAATTATAAAAACAAGCCCAAATCCTTTCTTGAGGAACCAAATTTTACCTCAGGCCTCAAAGAATTTCAACACAGAAACTTCTGAAGAAATTGAGTTGCTTGCAGTAAAAAAAAAAAAAAAAAAAAAAAAAAATTAATTTAACAAGAAAAAATGTCATGAGTAAAATCCCACAAAACAATAGGTAGAAGAGTCTAATCTACAAAATCTTGAGAGATTAGAGTTATTTGATATGAATGTTAAGCAAATTTACTTACTGGGTTTTCAGAAATGAAAGATAAGCTTGAAAATATAAGCAAAAGATGATTATACTTAAAAGAAGAATCAGTCATATCTTCTAGAAACAAAAATATATAATTAAAGTTAAAATTTTAAGAGATAGGTTTAAGAGTATATTAGCACAATTGAAAATATAATTAATTAACTAGAGGATAAAAATGGAGAAATTTTTTAGAATGAAGCTTCAACGGATACATAGAAAATGCAAAAGTGCAGTTAGGGACAAAGGCATGGGATTCTGATTAAACAGAGTGACTCTATCTTTTTTGTCTTACTAGGATTAAGAAGATGAAGTCCAGAGCTAATATTTTGCTCAGGGCACTAGAAGCTACAAAAAGTAGGAATGCATATTTGAAAAGGAACCAGATATATTTGAGAAATACAATATCAAAAATAAGAACTCAATCAATGAGTTTAACAATAGTTTAGAGACAGCTAAAAAGAGAGTCAGTAAACTGTCAGAAGGGAAGTCAGAAGAATTTACTTAGAATGAAGAAGGAGAGAAAATAAAAACAGTAGCAAAATACTGAAGAAAGTATAAGAGAAATAGAGGATAGTGTGAGAATGTCTAAAATACATATAATCAGAGCTCCAGATTGAAGAGGAGAGAATGGGGAAGAGGCTTTTGTACTTTTCGGAAGCGTTGAAATACATCAATACCAGACTCACAAATTCCAATAAATCTCAAGTGGGATAAATAAAAGTAAATGTACACTCAGATATATCTAGATATATCTAAATGTGTAAACCTAGATATCATGGTCTAACTTCAGATACAAAAGACAAAGAGAAAATCTTAAAGATCAATATGACTATTACAATCAGAAGAATCAGTGTGTTCTAGGTCCCTGTTCACTAGAATTCTAGGTTAAGAGTTCCATATTAGCCACAGGGTTCTTGGCCTCATTTTTGAAGTCTATCCTTACTCTCACAGTACCCTCATGTTTCTCCTCCTAACCCTGTATTTATATCATTCTGCCCTCTTTTCTCCAATTGTTAGATTTTTTTGCTCAGGTTAATAAGATCTCACTACCCATTTCACTGTTCCAAGAAGCCTGCAGACAATGTTCTTGGGGCAACAGTTATGATCTCTAAGGGGCCATTGCAAAAGGGACACTTCTCAGAGATCCAACCTGTAATATTGTTGTTCTTTGTGTCTAGAAAAGCCACTTCTGTGCAAAGACTTTTCTCAGTAATCTTTTTGGGTACTAAATTAGAGTATATAGAGATAGATAGGAATTTGTGTTAATCTTGAAAAATTATTGGGGCTGATGTCCAACCTGTCAATAGGGCCTGGAAGCAAAAGAGAGGAGAAGGGAGTGATAAATAATGATGAGGGGAGCAAGAAAGTCATTGAGTAGAAAATGGCACTGTAAGCTTGCATCCTCTGGGGATCTCTGTTGGTCTGGAGGAGCCTGTGCACAGTGAAGTGAATCTAGGCCACATGGGTGGAATATTGACTGAGAGAGAGTGGGAAGAGGGGAGAGAAAAGAAGTATACATGTCCAGAAATAGATGGTGGAGAGAAGATGTAAAAGGAGAAAACTGAAAATAAAACAGAAGAGATTGGACTGATAATAGAGAGGGCAAAAGAAGGAAGGAGAAGTAAAGGAAAGAGCAAAAAGAGGAATAGATACTTTTAGGAAATGAGAAAGGCAGTAAAAGGCAGACTAGTAAAGATTTCTAAGTAATGATAATCAAGGGAGTGTTATTGGGAACCCTAATTCCCTTCCAAATCTGCATTCTCCCTCATGTTCTCATAAAAGTTCAATGAAGGCTGTTCAAGATATCTCCTATATGATACTCTGCTTCAGATTCTTGAACCCCCATCTAGACCAAACCTCTCTGCAGGGAGCACAGAAGTCTGGACTCAACTTTGGCGTAGTCCTCTCCATCCAGCCCTATGCCATTTCTCTCCCTCACTTCCCTTCAAGCTCCTATCCTCTAGCTTGAACCCTACAGGTTTTCCAGCTGCAAGCCCAGCTTTAATCCCACCACAATCCCTGCTCTAGCCAGATGTCCAATATCACAGTGGTGGCTTGGTGCCTTCATTTTTGGTGGAGCCAAACTTACTGGATGGAGACAATGATCTCCTCCAAGGAGGGATATTTCTGGCTCTGTATCTCTGAATCTTATATATTCTGGCTTTCAGAAAAGAGAGTTAATGTTTGAGCTTCAGCATCCTCTGCTTCCCCAGGGAAAGACTGCCTTACTGGTCCTGAAGGGGCCAGAGAATCAAGAGGCCAACATTTTCTTATTCCTCAAGGAGAAAGCTTTCCTCTCAGCTCTTCATGCTCTGGGATCCCTAAGCAGTCAATATTGACCCTGAAGGCATAGGGAGAGTCTCGGAGTTAATCACCCCACACAAATTGAATAGGTAGAATGAGATACTTAGGAAATAAAAGAATGATTAATTATATAAAAGCAAAATCCTAGGTCAAGAGGGTTCAAGGCAAAATGTCAGTGGGTACCAAGTTATGATTTTCCGGAAATTTATTGATAAAAAGTGTGCATAATGTACATAAAACCAAGCATGTGCGCTTCTATACTGATAGTTTGTAGTAACTATAAAACACTCAGATCAGCTCCCTAATTTTTTTATGTTTATGACCAATAGTTCTACTTGAATGAAATATTTTCAAGAAGCTCTATTCTTGTGACACTTTTAATATAAAAATCCAAGATAAACAGTTTACGTCATAATATACTCCACTAGTGCCCGGCAGGTCAAAGATACAATGTGGTAATAAATTTTCTAACTATTTCCCTACCCTGTGGCCAAAGGTCCAAGGCTGGAGATTAGACAGAATAAAATTCAACTCCAGGCTCTGCCACTTGACAAGTTGCCTAAATTATCTGTCTCATATTCCTAATTTGTATATTTGTTGTGAGGAGTAAATGTGATCATGTTAGGAAAGCACTTGGTGGTTATTATATTGTTGTTATTGTTACTACTACTATAAAATCTGCTTTCCTGGCACTTTTGGGGGAACATCATTGGTCAATAAAAAAACCTGAAATATCTGCTGCTACTCAACTTGGAGCCTTTTACATAGAAATGCCCATGTCAGAGGCAGTTTAGTCTCAAATTAGTGCCTTCTATTTGGAGCACCAGCACTTACAATTGTTGGTTTTGTGCTCATTTTCTTTTTTGTAATTTTTTTCGCTCATTGTGTCTTAATAAACACAGGTTGTCTCGCACACTGGCAGTCACAGGTGCTTCTGATTGACTCATCATTTGTGGATTACTGCCTGTGTCTTAGAGATTACCCTCTTACTCTCCCTCTGACCCCTCAAAGTCAATTTTGTAAATGCCATATACCTAAACTTTTTAAGTCAGATATCCCCAAATCCCTCCAGCTCTTTTCATTTTGTTGGTAACTAAGATAAACTTAATTTAATAATATTTAAGCTATGTAAGCCTCCTTTTTATTTGTTGGATTGATTCATGTTGGATGGTTGGGAGATGGAGTGTTTTTCAGGCCAATTATCCTCTATCAAGGTCAGTGTTAGGACAACAAATGAACGCTTGAGTCCCTAGAACCTCTTTGTAATCCTCATTTCCTTTATTTGATATTCTTTCTACTACAAATTCAGTCACAAATTTTCTGTGATTTAAACGACATTTATCATTGGTACTTACTTATAA